CAGTACACACCCAGAAATTTTATATCCTGCTTGTGTGAATGACTGGCTGATTTTCCTCTGAAGCCCCTTTCAGATTGGGTGGAGCATCAGCGAATCCGTCTGCTCAGCGGGGGATCTCTCCACTGATCCCAGCTGAGAAGGCGGATACCAGGTCTGTGTCCACTACGCTGCTGCAGAGCAGACACAGCCCGCTGTCTTGTATGGCACAGGTGGATAGAGATGGACCACCTGATCCAATCCGCCAGATTGGAAACAGTTTTTGGGGTACAGGATCGGATGCAATGTGGGTTAAAGGGTAAATGTACTTCCATGGGAAAAAAAAAAAAAAAAAAGCAAGTGTCTGACACCCGCAGGTCCATGGAAGGTCCGATCAGATCTGCCTGAAAAACTGACAGGTGGACCTGGTCGGACCGTCAGTGTGAGACGAGCCGAAGATAAGAGTTAGAATTTTAGGCACCCACTGCAACATAAATGTCAGTTTTGGTGAGATTTTCTTAAATGGTTAAATCACTTCTAAAGAGATTCAGACCTTGCAGCTTTCTTTAGTAGAGCACAGCAAGTGCATTAGTGGAATAGAAGAGTCATTCCTATTCAGAATCAGTATACATAAAACATAGAACAAACTTTTGCAGAGCAGAAACAGGTAGGAATCTGCAGCAAAGTTAGTTAAAATCCTTGCAATGTACAGTCAGGTCCATAAATATTGGGACATCAACACAATTCTAACATTTTTGGCTCTATACACCACCACAATGGATTTGAAATGAAACGAACAAGATGTGCTGTAACTGCAGACTGTCAGCTTTAATTTGAGGGTATTTACATCCAAATCAGGTGAACGGTGTAGGAATTGCAACAGTTTGCATATGTGCCTCCCACTTGTTAAGGGACCAAAAGTAATGGGACAGAATAATAATCATAAATCAAACTTTCACTTTTTAATACTTGGTTGCAAATCCTTTGCAGTCAATTACAGCCTGAAGTCTGGAACGCATAGACATCACCAGACGCTGGGTTTCATCCCTGGTGATGCTCTGCCAGGCCTCTACTGCAACTGTCTTCAGTTCCTGCTTGTTCTTGGGGCATTTTCCCCTCAGTTTTGTCTTCAGCAAGTGAAATGCATGCTCAATCGGATTCAGGTCAGGTGATTGACTTGGCCATTGCATAACATTCCACTTCTTTCCCATAAAAAAAACGCTTTGGTTGCTTTTGCAGTATGCTTTGGGTCATTGTCCATCTGCACTGTGAAGCGGCGTCCAATGAGTTCTGAAGCATTTGGCTGAATAAGAGCAGATAATATTCCCGAAACACTTCAGAATTCATCCTGCTGCTTTTGTCAGTCACCTCATCAATAAATACAAGAGAAGCAGTTCCATTGGCAGCCATACATGCCCACGCCATGACACTACCACCACCATGCTTCACTGATGAGGTGGTATGCTTAGGATCATGAGCAGTTCCTTTCCTTCTCCATACTCTTCTCTTCCCTTCACTCTGATACAAGTTGATCTTGGTCTCATCTGTCCATAGGATGTTGTTCCAGAACTGTGAAGGCTTTTTTAGATGTCGTTTGCAAACTCTAATCTGGCCTTCCTGTTTTTGAAGCTCACCAATGGTTTACATCTTGTGGTGAACCCTCTGTATTCACTCTGGTGAAGTCTTCTCTTGATTGTTGACTTTGACACACATACACCTACCTCCTGGAGAGTGTTCTTGATCTGGCCAACTGTTGTGAAGGGTGTTTTCTTCACCAGGGAAAGAATTCTTCGGTGATGCACCACAGTTGTTTTCCGTGGTCTTCCGGGTCTTTTGGTGTTGCAGAGCTCACCGGTGCGTTCCTTCCTTCTTTTTAGGAATGTTCCAAACAGTTGTTTTGGCCACACCTAATGTTTTTGCTATCTCTCTGATGGGTTTGTTTTGTTTTTTCAGCCTAATGATGGCTTGCTTCACTGATAGTGACAGCTCTTTGGATCTCATCTTGAGAGTTGACAGCAACAGATTCCAAATGCAAATAGCACACTTGAAATGAACTCTGGACCTTTTATCTGCTGATTGTAAATGGGATAATGAGGGAATAACACACCTGGCCATGGAACAGCTGAGAAGCCAATTGTCCCATTACTTTTGGTCCCTTAACAAGTGGGAGGCACATATGCAAACTGTTGTAATTCCTACACCGTTCACCTGATTTGGATGTAAATACCCTCAAATTAAAGCTGACAGTCTGCAGTTAAAGCACATCTTGTTCGTTTCATTTCAAATCCATTGTGGTGGTGTATAGAGCCAAAAATGTTAGAATTGTGTTGATGTCCCAATATTTATGGACCTGACTGTACATAGATCACCCAGAAAGGTTTTGTACTCTTTCAATCCTAATGAAATGTATGCCACCTCATGGATTTCCCTCTTTACAGTTTTACTGAGCCCTGACTGTGAAGCTAATCAATATACTCCCAGTGCTCAGACAAGCAGACATTTGGGTCTTCTGCACAGTAGGCTGCCCACCCCGCCTCCCCGCTTATTCAGTCACAGAAACCTTTGCATTTTTGTGAGCAGATTCCCAACATACAAAAAAAGTCTTGGACAAAAAAAAAAAAAAAAAAAAAAACACACCACACACAGACAGTGTGGCTGCTGTGTAGCAAAGTCACGTCTCTCCTGTCATAGCTCCAGGAGTATAGAGATAGCAGTAAAACTACAAACTCAAAGATTAAATATGAACACTTGGAAAACACAGATTTCAATGGGGAAAAATCATGCTGGATATCTATACTGATATGGACTGGGTAATGTGTTTTGGCATTAGTGATTCCTGTATGGCAGATGAACTGTAGACATGCATCTACAAAAAAAAACAAATCCAAGTCAAACAATGAATTAAAATTACAAAAAAAAAAAAGAACCAACTCAATTGTTGCATGATAAGAAGAGAATGGTAGTTGAGAATAATCATGTTCACTGTTTGATGTACCTATTGTGTACAAAGGATATGCATACTAATGTAGGTTTTATATTTGACATTCTTAGCAAACTGAGAACATGAAAAAAAAAAAAAACCTGTAGCATTATCTCTGAATATGAAAATGTGACATTACTTAAACCTTTGTCTTTCCAATTACACAACCCCCCCCCCCCCCCATTTTAAAACTGAACACAAAAATCACTAATGTTTTCTGTACTACTAATCTTTAGACAATGGTACACATTCAATATTTTTGGTGCAAGCGCATACAGCAGTGCAGTAGGACCCTATAGTACAGGCCTCAACATTTTCCACTCACCTGCTCGCATTTGGCAATAAGAAATAACGTGAGGCAAGTCAATGGTAGGGATGGCAAGACATGTATCCCGTGAAGATCGGTATCCCTCATACGATCTTTACATGCGCTGGATTCAGACACAGGAAGCCAAGCCCTGAGCTTACATGTGTAGTGGCAAGATATGTATCCCTTAAAGATTGGTATCCCTCGTACAAACTGCGCATGCAGCAGATTCAGACACAAGAAACCGAACTAAGCAGATCGGTACACAGATAAAAAGTGTTACATGCTACAAGTTGATCAGGACAGAGGCTGCACAAAGCGGGACACAGGCACAATCACTTAACTCCTTACATGCCAAAATGACAAACAGGAGCACAGGAATGACACAAGCTCGAGCACCTTGACAGCCGAGTGGGGACACTTGAGTCTTCATTATTAACAGTGTCATTCCAAGGATATAAAGAGTTGATATGGGATTTCACAGCAAATATAGCATGAAGATGGTGGGGAGGGGAAGGTGGTAGCAGTCCGCTAGAGGGTTCCTTCTGTAAGTGGGAGCTCTGATGGTAAAGGAAGACATGGGGATGGAGGAGAACGAGATGGGATGGGGGAAAATGGGACTGGAGGAAGAGGACGATCACATGGGATGGAAGAGATTAACACTGCTTTATATTAATATTTGTTTTTGTACCTTTATTCAGCATAAAACATGTAACAGTGTAAATTTCATGAGATAATTTATGAGGGCGTGTTTAGGGGAAGAATTAGGGGCAGGGCAAGTGGTGGAGTGTAACTCTCAAGGCCTGGCTAGTAGCTCAGGACTTGAAATTTTGAGCCCTGTTATAGTATGAATTCACAGTAGTACCCAGAGATAAACAGCATAAACATTCCTTCCCTGCCATGCACAGTTCTAGAGCACTGCTGGAGGGTTCTTTTTGTAAGTGGGGGCTCTGAGGGTAAAGGAAGACATGGGATGGAACTGAGGAGACTGGACGAGAGAACTTGGGATGGAGGAGATGGGACTGGGGAAGGAGGAGGACATGGGATGGAGGAAGTGGAGGATATGGGATGGAGGCGATGTTTACATTACTTTAATATTGTTAAAGTTGCTGTTAAATGTTCTATGCAGAATAAAGTTAAAGATATTAACAGTGTAATTTCATGAGATAATTTACAAAGGTTTGATTAGGGGTGGGGCAGGGCAACTGATGGCAAGTAACTGAAGGCCTGGCTAGTAGCTCAGGACTTGAAAGTTTGAGGCCTGCTATAGTATAACTTCAGAGTAGTACCCAGAGATACAGCATAACATTTACCACAAACTCATTCTAAATAACATTTATTCATAACACCAGATCATAGTTTCATAAATATAAAATGTACAAAAATGGCACTGAAGGAAAAAAAAAAAAAATGCTGAACACATTAAATGACAATATTAAAACAAAAATTGCAGCACAGGAAGTGAAACAATTTCACCTTTTCCTACAATTTTAAAGAGTTCGCATATACTAGAATTGTCTATTAGAGGGTTCATGTGTACTACAAAGTTTTGTGAATCCAAGTGTAAATTAGAGAAGAAACCATGATCAGAAAAACTCATCCTACGATGATGGATCATGTATCCATTTACAGTTATGGATAAGGACTGTTTGCATTTTTCTCACAAGTTACAAAAGCAAGGTCCATAACAATCTTCTTTGCAAGGCTTCAATATGTTGCCATTTTTAGATCGGCATGTTAAGATGGTGGATGATCCTCGCCTCTGACGGCCTTGTATTTTGCCATGTCTTCTGGAAACACTTTGGAGAGCTCTTGGATTAGAAGGCTTTTGAATTTCTACAAAATGAAAAATGAAGAATAAACTCAGAGGATATTAATAAAATGTATCAACTATACAAGGACGCTTTCCACTTATAAGGTTTACACTTGTAAATACAGCATGGGGAGCTATAAATGTAAGGGCTCATGTAGTGGACAGTGGGTCTGAGCCATTGTCACCACCCCCCTTTCCTCCAGTGCTCAGAGCAGACTGAAAATCACCATTCCTTGAGAGACTCGAGAGCTGAGAGATCAGCAGTCAAGTGATCACTCCCAGGCTTAGAGACAGCAGGTGCAGGTAGGTAGGAAAGGATGCATTTTTTCAATCCTGCAGTTCTCTTAAATCCTCCATAGAAACATATTGAATGGGTATACTGACTAGACTGACCTTCCCATTTCATACCATCAACTTGCAACTCTGTGGGTCTGGCGAACTCTTAACAGCACAGCTGATTGATTGATTTCAATGAAGAGGCTTTGTAACCGCACCTTAATAGCGCCTATGGCATGTTAGTAAAGCATCTGTAAAGTGGTAACTGGGCACTGGGGGAGAGGTGGTGGTGGGTCCCTGTATCTCAGATTACACAGGAAATGGCTGGAGCTCTTCTAGTTCCCCATTTCCCAGTTTGTACAGAGCTGTTGTGTGGTAACAGTAACCAGCAATATTGACAGCGCCAGGCAGAAGCAAAAAAGGCACTGAGCATCATTATCAGTGGCAAAGCTTTTTTTTCCCCAGAAAAGTTGAGCTAGACCAAGTAAAGTGTCAAAGAGATCAAAAGTATACAAATCCATCTTGCCGAGAATACACAAAACACATCTGCCATCACACCAAAATCTAACCATGCACCAAAGTAGATTTTCCTCTGCATCACTTCCCCTTTAACCATTTCACTGCCAGATCCACAGGGTTTTCGCTTTTGTTTTTTTTTAAAAACCACAATCCAGTGGCTGGTAAAAGAGATTACACACGGTATGCCAGAACAATGCAAATAATGCATGTAGAGATACATTATGCCAATCATACAAAGATATTCTAAAGTGGCACTGACAGATTTGTTGGTACTCCTAGAGAAAAAAAAAAAAACAAAAAAAACAAAATGATAAAATAACTGGATCATAGCGATATTTCAAATTGTTTTTGTAATTAGTACCACACAAGTCTTCAATCTTGGAATTAGTCAGCCTATTTAAATGTAGAAAAGTATTTATGCGGTTTGGTATTATCGTGTGCAAAGAGGAGAGTTGTTTGAGGAAATAAGAATAAAAAAAAAAAAAAAAAAAAAAAAAAAAAAAAATCAACAAAAATTTTATATATCAGCATGTCAAAAAAGGTATAGTTACAAAGATAATCTTCAAAACCGTTTGATTTTTCCATGATTACAGTTGCAATTATTGTTAACAGGTATAAAAATTATAAGCTCTAAAGAGCAGGGCCCTTGAATCCCTCGTGTTCTGTTTTGTTACTGTATTGTTTTCATGTTCTGTCCCCCACTGTAATGTACAGCGCTGAGCAAACCTTTTAGCGCTATATAAATACTGTATAATAAAAAGGTAACTGGAAGTGTAGCCAACCACGCTGGATGAGCCTGAAAAAAAAAAAAAAAAAAAAAAAAAAAAGAAGGAAGAAGAAGGACTCCAATGTTTAATGAAAGCTATTCTGGAATTTTCTAAAATACATAATGCCAAGCCACAATTCTGGGAAAATGAGACAAAACTGGAGCTTATTGATCTATCAAAGAAAATCACTACTCTGTACTTATTGTGACACGGAGGAAGCTTGGTTTTGTTTTGGGGCTGCTCTGCCTTTTCTGACATGGGGTGTCTAGATCTGTGGAGGTCAAATAAAATGTAAAGTCTGTCATGACATTTCAGAGTGAAATGTACTGCCCAGTGTAATAAAGTGGTCTCAGTCGCAGACCTAGGGTCCCCCAACAGAACAATGACCCAAAACACACAGGTAAAAGCATCCAAAAACAGAGAACTATTCTGAAGTAGTTGTCAAAATGCCCTGATCTGAATTATCGATCATCTATGGAGAGAGTGCAGTCTAGAGAAGACACCCTTCAAAATGTGAGTTTGCTCAAGAAGAGTGGGTCAAACTACCTGTTGGCAAGTGCAGGTCTCATTGAAGTCTACAGGAAAAAAAAAAAAAAAAAAAAAAAACCCACCAACATTTGAAGCGATTTCTGCTACAGGGCATGCAACAAAATATTTGGCATGGACAAAGATTATGGGTTCCTTAACCGTTTTATTTGTATTTAAAATATTCTATTGAATCAAAACATCAAAAGCAAAAAAAAAGTCCAATTTGTTTTAAATATGGAATACACAAATGATGGATGCCAATTATTTTGACCATTTTCAAGTTATTTTAGAGAATTGTTTTAGTTCTGTTTTTTGTGGAAGGCTACCAACAAATTTGTCTACAGCTGTAATTAATCTATAACACTCACAAAAGTAATTCAAATCTTACCTTCATTGTATCAATTTTACCCTTCACCTGCTCATTTTTAGCTAATGCTCTCTCCAGACACTCCTTGGTGTACAGCTGGGGATTACGACCTTGGTCAATGTAACTAAAAAAGAAAAATTAAATACATTTTTAATGTACAGGAATGAAGGAATACAGCTGTATGATCTGAATCGAAGCCTTCTCAATGGGTCTGTTGCAAATCGGTGAAAGAGCACCAACACAGACTACCCATCCTATGCGTTTGCTATCCAAAATACATTTATCATAGACAGGTGGCAAAGATTTAGAATTTTAACCTTTCAAACTACATTACTGTAAATGCACACATCGGTGAAAAATGCACATGCCCTAAATGGACGAATCCTTAACGAATGGGGAAAGTACACACCTGTGCAATGCATGTTTTTTAGGTATGTTCGACAATATGTTATATGCATTTACGATTGAACTCGCAATAGGTATAGACAAAAATGATGAAGTTGCCTCTGAGGAAGAAATGCTTCAAAATGTTAGGCAAGGAGTTTCTTTTAATGTGCCTTGACTATTATTGTCGTTTGTGAGTACAACACATTAAACATTTTTTGTGTAATGAATGGGGCCTTATCTTTCCCCATTCGGCCATTTACCTGTGTGCATATACATTAAAAGCACAATCAAAATATACTAATACATTTTAGGTATGTTCATGTTTAATAGAACTCTATATAAAAGATGATGAAGTTGTGAAAATGCTTCAAAACCAGTTCATGGGGCCCTTATAATCCCTAAAAAAACATACTTAATAGGTACCAGTTCATACAACATGCTCTTTTCAGGTTTGAGACTCGAAAGTCAAACACAGCAAGGCAACTATGATTTTCAAAGGAGGGACACTAGTTGCAGGCATCTATACTTTAATTTTCTCACGATGGAGTTGCATGCTAAAACATACATCTCACTAACTGCTGTGTCAGTTCCAAAAAGTTTTCCACACGTATTGCTCATAATGGGGATCTCAGATCTACACAGCAAAGATGCAGCAGGAACACTCCAATATTGCAGTCCTTTTTGCTGCTGTAATTGCAGTTCAGACTTTCCTTAATAAGCTACGGAGAAAGGTCTTGTATAACATTTCTGCTGCTACAAGAAGACCATTCTCCAGATCTTGCAGGGCAGAAAACATTGCAGATTCCTGAAGCACCCTTTGCAAAACATTAAAAGTTACCTGATGACTATGTGATGTACATTCTGCTCAGCAAATAAAAACACCTACTCAGTATGCAAAAGATCATTGTAGACTGGTTCAATTTTCAATGTAAGTGAAAATATCTTGATTGAGGCTTGAATGTTATAAAAAGATATCTGGCAGAAGACAGACTACAGTGGCCAAATCTTTCCTACATATGCCAAATTCCTATCTGCCATGTTGACCTTCTCATTTGGCTACTTGGAAATCACAAAAATGTGAATTAGGACCATCTGACTTTTTGCCATGTTCCCGATTTCAATATTTGTTCCAGGTCCGCAAAAGAGCATGTTAAAAAAAAAATGTTTTTTTTTTTGTTTTTTTTTTTCATGGAGGTCAGCATTACATCCTTCATGTTTCACTCACTAACCAGTAAACATTATTATAGTTCCCAGACCTAGAACACCTCCCCTACCCTTTCTGCCCCAGATGCATACTTACCCACCCAAATCAGAGGGCTGCATTCAGTTCCTCTGGCTGCAATTCTTCCTTTTACCAAGCTACACAGTTGTGCATTGCATCCCTATTAGACTTCTACGGAATCATCTCATGATACAGGAGTCACTCAAGAAACCACCATTGCTGTTGTAAGCCATAAATTGCCACTATTAAATAGCAAGTACATCCTGCTATGTTCTAGAGTGCACTGGCAGCCCCTAAACCCAGGGGCAATCGTGCAAATCCATAACTTCTATATAAAGATAACACTTGGCCTCCCCAATCACACATGCTTAAATTGTCAGAGGAAACCATCACAGGCTAGTAAACAGGAGGTAAGGAGAAGGGCTAAAGTGCTAACTTCATTAGGTAACCCGAGATTAAAATAAATAGTGAAATCTAGGTTAGGGGCTCAAGGAATGCCTGCTTTTGAATGGAAGTGGCAGTGTAGAACACCAAATGTAACTACAGGCACATTTTAAAAGTAATAAGTTCACCTTTTGTACAGGGTGCAACAATATTCAGGGTGTAACATGTTACAAAAAGGACTGGCCCCTGCTCCTCCACTGTGAAAGCCAGCAGGGAATCTTCTCCCCCCACTAGCTATCACAAGTGGGGGGGGGAGAAAAAAAAAAAAAAAAAAACAAACACAACACACACACACAGGGCTCCATCAGCATCACTCATTCACAGCATTCTGTGAATGAAAAAACTATAAGTTCCGACAGCCTTTGCAACTGTCAACTTGTATTGCTTAATGAACTACCATGGCTCATCGATTCTTCCTGTAAGAATATACACTATTGCCAAAACTATTGGGACGCCTGCCTTACACACACACACACACACACACACACACACACACACACACACACACACACACACGAGAACTTTAATGGCATTCCAGTCTTAGTCTGTAGGGTTCAATATGGAGTTGGCCCGCCCTGTGCAGCTATAACAGCTTCAACTCTACTGGGAAGGCCGTCCACAAGGTTTAGGAGTGTCTATGGGAATGTTTGACCATTCTTACCAGAAGAGCATTTGTGAGGTCAGACAACAAGGTCTGGCTCGCAGTCTCAGCTCCAATTCATCCCAAAGGTGTCCTATCGGGTTGAGGTCAGGACTCTGTGCAGGCCAGTCATGTTCTTCCACCCCAAACTCGCTCAACCATGTCTTTATGGACCATTGCTTTGTGCACTGGTGTGCAGTCATGTTGGAACAGGAAGAGGCCATCCCCAAACTGTTCCCACAAAGTTGGGAGCATGAAATAGTCCAAAAGGTCTTGGTATTCTGACACCTTAAGAGTTCCCTTCACTGGAACTAGGGGGCCAAGCCCAACCCCTGAAAAACAACGCCACACCATAATGCCCCCTCCACAAAATTTTACATATGGTAACAATGCAGTCAAGCAAGTAGCAATCTCCTGGCAACCGCCAAACCCAGACATGTTCATCGGATTGCCAGACGGGCGCAAGTCATCACTCCAAAGAACACATCTCCACCGCTCTAGAGTCCAGTGGTGGTGTGCTTTACACCACTGCATCCGACGCTTTGCATTGCACTTGATGTAAGGCTTAGATGCAGCTGCTCAGCCATGGAAAACCCATTCCATGAAGCTCTCTACACACTGTTGTGCTAATCTGAAGGCCACATGAAGTTTTGGAGGTCTTTAGCTATTGACTCTGCAGACAATTGGTGACTTCTGCACAGTTCAGCATGTGCTGACCCTGCTCTGTCATTTTACATGCTTCCACTTTCCTACAATATCACTTTGTGAAATTTCCTTGCTAGTACAAATTCCACGGTCAACTGTTGGTGGAATTTTAACAGATTGACTTATTACACAGGTGTCAACCTATAACGCTTGAGCTCCTGAGCTCCTGAAGCAACCCATTCTTACACAAAACGTTTGTAGGAGCAGTCTGCATGCCTAGATGCTTGATTTTATACATCTGCGGCCATAGAGGTGATTGGAACACCTGAATCCAATGACTTGGAGGAGTGTCCCTATACTTCCAGCAATATCGTGTATCTGCTTGCCTGTATGATGTATGGGCACACAGATACATGGACAGGTCTGCAGGAGTCCTGAATGGCACCAGCGATATGCTGATTGCTGGTGCTATGCTTTACAGGTTCCCCAAAAAAGTAAATCCACATTTACCTGCAAAAACCTGCATTTATTATTTTTGGCTTTTCCAAGCTTGGAAATGAAGGCCCTCTTTGCAAGTGCACCATTTTATTTGTCATGACTACCATATTTGCTGGCATTGGATGAAGCCTTGTACCTTTTTATGTCAAGTATACACCTTTCAATTACTATTACACTATAATATGGTCTCCTGTGAGCACTTTTTCCCTAGACAGTATCAAGCAAACCCGACTGTCCCCAGTGGTGAGAGTTGGTACTGCTGGATGTACCCATTTTGTGGTTATGATCATATTTATCATGTTTAATACTTTTAAGCGGTTGTAGTCAATAAAATCACTTTTAGACAGACATTCCAAAAGCAACAGATATGGATATTTTTGCATTGATCCAACTATGCATGTTTCATACCTAGCCGACCCCCCATAGAAGATGGAAATCACTCATAGGCACTGCTACTATAGTGATCACCACTAGATCTTGGGTTCCATGCCAAGTAGCTACTCTGCTGCATAGTGAGAACAGAAGGATGCTCGCTTAGTATGGATGCCATTGAATAACTCTGGTTGGATGAGGTGGAGAGGATGTCACAATCTCTACCTTGTGTCCAGAGAACACTTTGCATTCACTTAGAAAATTGCAAAGAGTCTGAACGGTGCTCATTCCAAGTGGGGAAACTCCTGTGTTCACCAAGCAGCAGGGCGGACACTTGGGACCTGGAATGTGGTGGGAATTACACTACAACTCCAAAAAGTTGTGACATTGTGTAAAATCTACCTAAAAACAGAATGCATTGATTAGCAAAGCTCATACCCATAATTTAATGCACAATAGAAAAAAAAAAAATATCAAAAAATGTTTATAAGAAAATGTACCAATTTAACCTCTTCCCACCGGATGTACACATAAATGCAGCCTCCCGGCAGGTGGGTTTTAATGCAGAGAGGCTGCAAATATGCATCACAAAACGTAAACAATGCTGAGCTGAGAGAGCGCACACTCTGGGCATAGCTACCAGTGGGTAACAGAAAGCTTCTATTTACTTAGCAGCTTTCCAATCGTGACTGCTGTAACAGCCAATCACAGCAGTCGAATGATTAGAAAGCTCGCCTCCTGGCGTCAAGAATGTCTTAAAGGGCAGGGAGGTGGTGGCAAGAAGGGGTTATGAAAAATAAAGTAGCTTTGAAGTTGATGGCCATGGCGCAACCCAAAGTTGGGACAGGGCAACAAAAAGCTGACAGAGTAAATGGTACTCAAGGAAAAGCTGGAAAAACATTTTGCAATTAACTAGGTTCATTGAGAGTAGGTCAGTGACATGATTTAGGTATAAATTGGGAGGAAAAAAAAAAAAAAAAAAAAAAAAAAAAAAGAAACGAACATCTTAGAGAGTCAGAGTATCTCAGACGTAAAGCTGGCCAGGGGTTTACCAATGTGTGAAAAGGTGTATCTAAAAATTGTCAAACAATTTCAAAATAAAAATTCCTCAAATGAAAAAAACTGCAAAGTCGTCATCATGCCGGACGCCCCTAAAAGCAGCAGTAAAAACATCCTGTGTGCATGAAGCTTTAGGCTGTCAACAGATCAGCCTCTACAAATTCAGCACAGTGCCTAAAAATAGCAACTGAGCATATGCAGAGCAGGGAGAGACAGTGTATTACTGAATTTTGCACAGTATTTATTTTTTTTTTTTAGGTTTTACAGATATACCTGCAAAAATGTGGCAACATGAAGTGATGTAGCAGGACTTTATTTAATGACTAAAGTTCCACTTTAAGAAAACAGAAGCCCAACTTCTAGATATTTAACCCTTTGTTAGGACAGACAAATGTCAAATCTAGTTTAAAACTGACAATTAGATCTGCCAGCACAGTACAGACAGGTTTATTATGATAAACATTAAAGTGGTTGTAAACCTCAGACATGAAATATGAACAAAAGCATATCCTTCTATAGTGTGTACCTTTAATTAAGATCATTAAGTGTCGTTTCTGTATGCTGCTGTCAAAAGCAGATTGGCAGCCTCAGCTCTGTTCTGAAGAGCTGTGAAAGGGGGGGTGTTAGTGTCCCTTCTCTTCAATCAGCTCTCAGAGCTCTCTGCCCCCTCCTTTCTGAACTCAGACAGGCTTATAAATTCAGCACTTTGAACGGATGCAGAGAAGAGGAGACTGCAGATAGACAGGTACGACTTGAGCAGAAGGATTTGTTTCATCTCTGCATCACCTGAGGCCAGTCACTTCACTGGATATATGTAAGGGTTTATAACCACTTTAAAATTACCAGCCACCTCTGCATAGCAGGGGAAAACTTCAGCTTTGAAGGTTTCAGAAAAGAGCAAGTTAAATGTAAGTGATTTTTATTTTTAGATTATGCTATAAACTATGCCAAGTGCAAAACACATTTGCAGATCCCAATTTATTTTTGGGGCTTACACCGATTTTCATGGTTCAAGAAATTATTTATTTATTACAGGTACTTCTATAGCGCCGTCAATTTCCAATGAATGTACAATATACACGTAAAAGTGCTGCATAAATTGACAGTGATATACAGGTAACCTGTAATAAATAAAGTGCTTTAACCTGAAGTACAGCATTCTCTAAGCACATATTAAATTTAAAAAAAACAAAAACAAAACACAGGGTGGGCTGCAAATAGAGAAAGTCCAGAGAGCTTCCACAGATTAATGAATGGATGAAGCAAAGTCATTAATCAAAAAGGTGGCTTTAAAAAAGTTTAAGCCTAAACTAGATTATTAGGATTATGATGGAACCTGAAGGAAAGTAAAAATAAAAATCTTTGAGATGCCTGTGAGGAGCCATGAAATTTGCTAAAAACCTCACTCTTTTCAATGGTGGAAATATGGAAAGGGGTTGTGTCTGTTGCAAATGGTCTGGTGCAAGCCCTGTTAATGACAAATAGCCATTTCTTTGCGGTGTGAAGTCCGTATACATATGACCTTGGGAAAAACACATTTTAACCTGCTGCTGTCAGTCATTCAGTTTAGTGATGATCAAACATGAGAAAAAAAAAAAAATCAATAACAGACCCTTGATAATAAAGCTGAACATCTGACCTGTTATCTATCTGATCAATAGCCATTTGTGCCATATAGTGTATTTCATGCAAACTTTTCTGTCATTGAGATGGCTGTAAGGACCAAGTTGGAGGGGCTGGACACATTTCAATATAAGCCTGCAGACCCTTGTTCAGGAGGGCTACACTGCAAAAAGACCACCATTGTTCACCATGCCTGGAATAAGATCAAGAACCTGTTTCTTGCAATTGCTTAAAGTACAGAATCCTGTTCACCAAGGAATTTATGGACTAGAGCTAATCGAAATACTATATGCATCCCTACTAGAACCGCACACAAACTATTATTTATGTTCACTCTCCAGGTCAGGAAAGAATGTTCTCTTGGGCGTGTCTGAATAGCATGAAAAGGGTAGTTTGATTTTTTTTTTTTCCCCTTCACGGCACACTAATATTCTACCAGATTTCTTCAACCTCTTTGTAAGCATAGGTCATTGATGCCTAGATGCCCTGCTCAAAATTAGGTCATAGGTCAGTTAAAAATCTATGTACACCCAAACACAAATAAAGTTGTTTAAAATACTTCCTTTCGCTTTGAAAATGTAATTGTGCAGCTTTTTTGATATATTTTTTTCTATATTAACAAAAGTCAAAATGTTTAATACCTGTTAATCCTGCCACTTTCTGCCCTCTGAGGCCTTTAATAGAGCTATAACCAGCATTAATGTCCCTGTGCTTTCAACTAATTTGCTGTAGTTCGCTGGTGGTTGATTGACAGATACTCTGACCATTTACCAGCTAAGATAGAGACTTGATGTAAATGTATCTGACCCCTTTTACCGGAAAATTACCCGGTTACAATTAGTGGAAAAATAATGGATCTGCTAGCGGACTCAAAAAAAAAAAAAATAAATAAAATAAAACTGGTATGTTACAGCTGGGGTTTTTTTGTTTGGTATGAGGTTTGTTTTTTTGTCAGATACAGTCGCACTATTTAAAAACAATACATTTAAAATGTACCTGTGTATGCAAGTTAAAGTGTAATTGGTAGATGAAATACAACTACATCTTTGATGCAGGCTGTCACTACTGTCAATAAACAGTAGTGTGGCAGGTGTGTACTGACTATTATTTAACATGATTTTGAATGTGATTGCTTAATTCTAAAAAAAAAAAAAACAAAAAAAAAAAAACAAAAAAACACACACAGCTATGTCCCCAGTTATAAGAGGGTGTGTACACTTATGCAACCACATTATTTTAGTCTTATGTTTAATGTTCCCCCTAAAAGATTTCAATTTGTTTTTCAATTGAGTTGTACAGTTTCTAGGTCACAATAAAAAGGTGGGAAAAGTTCTGCAATTATCTTTGTCTCATTTTTTGTACACACAATCACAGAAACCTGACATTTCAACAGGGGTGTGCAGACTTTTTATATCCACTGTAAATTAAGCATCTAATTTCCTGACTACCTATCACACTTATGAAGGCCCTGGAGCATCAGGACGATGAAAACATCCACAAATTATACAGCACCAACATTTACACAGCGCTTTACAATATAAAAATGACCACATTTTGTAATGCAAACATCCCAATGTATTTTCTATGAGACATAATGGGGGTTTATTTACTAAAACTAAGTGTAAAATCTGGTGCAACACTGCATAGAAACCAATCAGCGTCCCTGTTTTTATTGGCAAAGCCTAGTTGAACAAGCTGAAGTTAGTAGCTGATTGACAACTATGCACAGCTGCACCAGATTCTGAGTGCACTGGTTTTAGTAAATCTCCAATGTACGTCACAAGTTTTTAAAAGACGTGTAAGGAAATTTTTTTTTTTTTCTTACACAAAAAGTTGTCAAATTTTTTATTTCTAACACACAACATGGACATACTAAGAAATACACCCCAAAAATACATTGTGCTATTCCTCTCGAGTATGGTGATACCACCAGAGTCAGTCTATTTACCTAAAAGGAATTACCCCCCCCCCCCCCCCATGTACAAAAAGGTAAAATATTTGTTCCAGAGATTCAGGCCAGCCAATCAGTTGGCAACTCACTCAAATACTTCCAAGGGCACGGTGATGTCATGAAGCTGCTGCCGACACTTGTCTACATCTGCCAATCCAGTAATCATAAAATTCCTACAGAAAAGAAATAAAAACAGCGAGTTAAAAAAACAAACAAAAAAAAAAAAAAAACCCCACAAGCAGATAGCAAGCCCACCTATTAATTACAATCTCAGTGTAAAATTGAAGACAATTACCATCACTGATTGTTTTCTAGTCAAAAAATTCATTACAATCTGCTTTATTTTGTTTTGTTTTTTAGAAGTGTCTGCAAACCTTACAAAATACCCAATGAAGTGACTAATCTCAGATGATACACCAAGGTGAAACAAATACTCCTACTTATATTGTACATGTTTATCTGCAGCCATCGCTGCTCTACATCCATTTAAAGTCCAGAATTTACACTGCTCTCCTTCCTGAGCTGAGCAAAGTGTGATCTGGGACCTGAGTGGAGCCAACGTCACACCCCCCTCTACACAACCTCAGTGGGAGACATGCACAACTGAGGCTGTCAATCACAGGCTGTACACTGGAGCTCCCTTTCCCACCCCCCTTAATCTCTTGGAGTAGGTACAGCCTGTCAGAATTGACTCATGTATAGCAGAGGAACCAGACTTCAGACAGAAGTCACACTCACTGCTTTGGAATGATACAATTACACACTATAGAAGGATATGCTTTATTCATTTTTCATGTCAGAAATTTAAAATCTGGTGTCTGGTGGACTGTTCCTCCCACTGGCATATGTTCCAGTGGTGCAGTTCTTTGCTGCATACCCACTCACTCCTCCTGTTTTATAATCTATAATAAAGTATAATTCAAGCCATTTTTTTGGCTTTGATTAAAATGGTAAAGAGGGTTAGAACCCATATTGTTTTTTTCTTACAGGTGGTGTGCCTGCCTATTGCGACAGAAAACACCAAGGCAGTAAAAACCTGACAGATGTTCTGAAATGCCCTCATTCATTACTTTTTTGCTGCAGGTCTTTTAAAAAAAAAAAAAAAAAAAAAAAAAAAAAAAAAAAAAAAGGACTGTAAAATGCAAGTCTCTGTAGTAAAGGCTGCAATAAGTGTACATACCAGCCAACCTAATGCAGAGATTTTGCCAACGGTGTTTCCTGGATGTCAATACATCTCATACCATCATAAAATTCCAAACTACTTAGCAGCCATTTTCCAATACAGTGCCTGCTTGTTGGCCATGCGAAGTGTCAATTACTTGACCTGCATTTACAGGATATTTAATGCTGAATTTTGGACAACCGCTAAATACACAGATGTAGTACATATAGGAAACCTGGTTTACCTGCCAAAGGATTTGAACTTTTATCTATCCAGCTTGGTCACATCATTCAACCCTGTCTGGCAGGCAAAAACTAAAATCTCTATTGCAGCTTAGTAACGGGTTTTTTCCCAACTCACCTTGTGACTGCAGGTGAAACATTTTCATAGCGTCACCTCTACTTTCCGATCATAGCAGTGTCTAGTCAGACACTCCCTTCACTTTTTGAACATACAAATACAAGGATGCCTTTGGAGGACTGATCATTAAAGCATTACTAAACTCAACAGTAAAATCAGTCTGTATATGCAGCACAGAATGCTTGGTATACTCACTGTGGAACCTAAGGGGTTAATCCTCTGCATTGTGTAAAACCGCTGTTTGACCCCACCTCCTGATCCTCCCCTTCTAGTGTCTCCCTCATCTCCTGATAAGACATATTGTGCGGAAACACTGCACATGCTCAGTTTGGTGTGTATTGCTAGAGGTTTTCAACACTGTCAAGACAGAGGTAAGGGGTTCTGCATCCTCCTAGAGAAAACTCCTCCTACAAGCTTTAACCAGTGCTCTGCTGAACACTGTCACAAGTCTGCTTCAACTGCTGATGAGAAAAAGTATTTAGCCGTTTAGATTTACTAAAATAAGTGCATTTCCATGTTCTGTGTACTTTGGGAGACCAGATATAGTGAATGCAGGGTCCTGGGTTTAGTAACTTTAATATTCCCAGCATAAAGCATTTAAGCGCAACAGAAAATGCACTTCCACTGCAGAAGTAATTTTGGCCTGGTTTATACTTTCTGCCCAGGGGCTGGACGGGGAGTTGGGGTGGTATACATGCCATGCAAAGCATTGCAATCATAGCAAAAACTATAAAGGGCAGTAGCACCACCATGTGATGTGACCATATAATGGACATTGCTGTGGTGTAGTGCTACCAACCCTTAAGAAAAATCCAAGCTCAGTACAACCATAGCTTATGGCATTACAGGACGAGGAGGAGAAGGGAAAAAAAAAAAAAAAAAAAAAAAAAAAAAAAAAAAAAGCACAATACTTTTGTTGGGCTTGCATATCTAACTCACGGCTGGAGGGTTAGTACATTATTTTTGCTTGTCTTGGAGAGTTTTGGTTATTCTGCTAATGCATCTTAAAGCATTAACAGTCCCCTTCACACTTACAATCCCAGGTGCATGCAGCTCTCAACACATTTAAAGCTGGCTATACACGGTTAGATTTCTCCATTTACACAAATTTTCTGTCAATGATATTGTACACAACAGGCCCAATCCTCCTTTTCTTCATTTACCTTAAAGCAGAGCCCCACCCAAAAGGGGAAGTTCCACTTTAAAGACTGTTCCCGCTCCCCATTAAGGATTGCTACACCTTTGGGGGAGCAGATACCCGCTCCCACTTCTGCTGCAATCGCTAGGTGATTGGAAGTTGTTCTCCTACCCTCCCTGTAGTCTTTTGGGACATGTGACCGGTCCCAGAAGACTACAGGACTATTCAGAAATGCAGCGCTACTCACGCATGCGCAGTGGGCACCCGGCAATGAAGCTGCAAGCCGTCACAGTTGGGTGCCCACATTGAAGATGCCTGGCGCCCGGAACACCAGATGGCCGGTAAAACGGGCTGTGGGGAGGACACTGCGGGATCATGGGACAGAAGAGTGGCTGTATTTTTTTTTTTTTTTTTTTAAAAGTCAGCAGTTACAGTTTTTGTAGCAGCGTGACTAGAACTCCGCTTTAAAGGAGAAGTTCACCTTTTCTAACATGTTACACCCGTATTCAGGGAGTAACATGTTACAGCTACACTGTCCCCACGTGGGGCTCTGCCCACCCGGCTGCATCATTCATTCACAGTATTCTAAAGTGAATTCTGTGAATAGGAAACTACAACCCCTGGCAAAAAGTATGGAATCCCCACTCTTGTAAAATGTACATTTGTATATTTGACTGCTTAATTGTGTAGAGAAAAAAAAAAACCCACACACACCACTAATCACAGACATACCGTATTTTTTTTTCGCTCCATAAGACGCACCTAGGGATGACCCAGAGACTGCGGACACAGTGCACTGCGGACCTTTGGGCAGGGGATGACTGCGGACCTTTGGGCAGGGTGATTCTTTGGGCAGGGATAGGTAAATGACAGGTACCCGCTCCCACTTCCGCGGAGTTGTCCTCCCTTTAGTGTGGGCCGGGTGCCCAGTGCGCATGCACGAGAAGCGCTGCGCTTTGTGATTGGTCCGCCGTTTTCTGGGACCTGTCATGTGTCCCAGAAGACACCGTACCATTCACAAAGTGCAGTGCTACCCGCGCATGCGCACTGGGCACCCGGCTGTCAAGCCAAGAGCCCACACTAAAGAAGCCGGTGCGGGATGACTGCGCAGCGATGGACAGAGGAACAGGTAAGGTCCTGCTGCAGAGCTAAGTGGCCGGCCCGGTATTCTGACACGGCAGTGGTGGAAATACTGGACAGGCCCCCATATTCACTCCATAAGACCACTGACATTTTCCCCCCCTTTGAGGGGAAAAAAGTGCGACTTATGGACGAAAAATACGGTACATCAAAACTATTTTCATTTAACATTCCAACCTTCTGGATTTAAGAAACACTTAAAAAATAAAAAAATGAAAAAAACTAGTCACTTGCAACTGTTTTTGCAGATCAAGCAGGGGAAAAAAGTAAAAAAAAAATGTAAATCACTCAATTCTGAGAAAAATATTATGGAATCAAGAAAGGCAAATAAGAGGAGCTTTTGAGTGGAACTCCGCTTTAAATGTGTATAGAAAACACTCAGCGCTATGGATCTCCTAAAAAAAAAAAAAAAAAAAAAAAAAAAACAACACTTGTGCAGCTAGCATATGTGTTCCCACATGTAAAACAAATAAAATGAAAAAAATGCAACACACACAAATATGGTGCTGACAATATAAGTGCAAATGAAAAAAAAAAAAAAAAAAAAAAAAAAAAAAAACTGCTTGTGAAAATCAATGTGTGCTATACCAGATGTCTTCCCAATACACAGCACGTTGACTTCTGTGGTGTATATCTTCTAACACAATTTCTAGGATATACACCACATAAGTCCACATCCTGATATTCAAGCTTTAAAAGGGACAGTTCACTATTAAGGACATTTATGTGTTAGTCGTGTGTACAATTCGTGTATAGCACCGGTTATGTGCAGTTTATGGGGTCCTATATGTGTGTATTGGTAAGACATCTGGTATAGCACACAGCGATTGTCACAAGCACAGTTTGTAAATTTCATTAACTCTGCTTTAAAGCCAGAAGGTTGGAAAGCTAAATGAAAATCATTTTGAGTCATGTCTGATTGTTTTTTTCTCTACACAATTAAACAATCGAATGAAGATTTTCCAAAAGTGTCGATTCCATACATTTTGCCAGGGTCGTACAACTACCAAGTGCCTTTGCAGCTGTTGGCTTGTAGTTCCCACTGTTGAGCAAGCACTGTGGTAGTTAATGGATCCTCTGTCAGTGCGTAAGGGCTCATGTACATTGCAGTTGATAAACTCACATTTAGAACTGTTCAGCGTTTTCTTCAGCAGCCCCCGAACTCACTCTAACGTTTTCCTAGGTGTCCATGTACAGCATTTACAGGCAGTTGAGTTTACAGTCTTTTTTGAACACAACAAACTTGCATTCAGATGTCAATTTTATCAGCATTTCAAATGCAAAATGAGGCAAATCGCGTTTATAAGTATTTGACTTTATTTTTTTTTTTTTTTTTAACTCTTCCAGATCCCAATGCTGTCCAGAGCCTTTTTTCATCATGAAAAATACATGCAAAGCATTTTCAAAGTACTCAGATGGACAAAACACTGAACAACACAGGATGTTCCTACCAAGCTTGTCACACATTGTAATACCAAATCACACCTCAGACCTCTCCCACCCTTAGAAACAAAAGACTCTAATGACCATTCACACCTCAGACCTCTCCCACCCTTGGAAACAAAAATAAGACCATTCACACCTCAATTTTTCTCATGAAGACCCCCTGCCAGGTGACCTTAATGACCATCCACCACACCTGTCCCACCCTTAGAAACAAAAGAAATGTTAATAAGACCTCTAATGTCAAACAATACTGCTTATCTGCTTCTACTCTTTCCAGTTAATTTCCCACTTTCCAGTGCATTCTGGGCATTTGGGAGGTTCTCCTGTGCTGATCTTTAAAAAAATGCTTCTAAACACAAATGCACATAAACACATTATGATAACACAGCTAAACAGACATTTTTTTTTCCAGCATCGTTTTCATTCAGAAACGTCCCGTGTACATGGGGCCTAACTGACCATTGTACAAGTTGTGTCCATCTAGGAGCTGGGAGGCTGCAATCTAATACAGGTTTGCTTTGGGGGTGAATATTGCCTCCCTCCTCGGCCAATGAAATGATGGCATACTCACAGCTTCTGGTTGAGGCCGGCCTGGCTGCTCGGTTGGAAATCACTGACTATGATCCCCAGCTGTCGGATGTTCTCCACAAACTTTTCCAGGTGTTCCTCCAGGTTGTCAAACTTCTCCGCCATACTGTCTGTCCGGGTCAGTCTCCCACAGATATCCGGCGCTCTAATGACCCGTCATACCCCTTTATATTCTCCTCTCCCCTCCTTCACCATCACACCTCATAACTACACAGATGGCAGCTTCATTCCGCTTCCGTGTCCTCCTAGTCTTCCTGTTTATACTCCTCCCCTCGGATTCTACACTGAGCAGAGGAACAGAAAACGACAGCCAGCAACACTTCGCGGATACACTCAGCGCATGCGCCATTTCAAGCTGCCTAGGCGCCCTCTGAAGCCGCCGAGGCATACTAACTTACGCATGCGCTAATTGCTTCGATTACGGCTGGTTGATGTAGTAATATGAGTTGAGCCTCATCAGTATTCATCTGGAGCTGCTGATGTAGAGAATGGTCCGGGAGCTGACGTGTGAGGAGAAGCACACACGGGCTTTGTGAGCATTTGTCGGTGATAGGTGCAGATTTGTGGAGTCGCCGTCAGATGTACGTGCGTGTGGTGATATTTGCAGCGCACGTCTGACGTCCTGTGCCTAGTGGAACCATGAAGAATGTTGGCTCATAATTGCCTCAGAATTCCAGCTGACAGAATACAAAGGACTGCACAGCGGAGCTGGAAAATGGCATTGTCAGCCATGCGGGTGCTTTCTATACCTTAGTGAAGTTCTATGCAGTCTACAAAATTAAAGTGAAGAAACTATTTTTTATTGAAGAAGAAAAAAAAAAGAGCACACTCTTGTTGGAAAATAATCCGTTTAATCTGCGTCTCCTTTACCGAATAGGCTGAAAAGGAGACTCGCATGCATGCTCCCAGCTAGGACCTGGGCCAGGGATGTGTGTGTCCATAGCACCCAACACCCTTCATCTCTCCCCTCACAGCAATATATCAACTGGAGTGCATAACACACAGAGCAGGGGTCAGGGTATGCAATGTGGGGGTCAGGGGTACACAATGTAGGGGTCAGGGGTACACAATGTAGGGGACAGGAGTACACAATGTAGGGGTCAGGAGTACACAATGTAGGGGTCAGGAGTACGCAATGTAGGGGTCAGGAGTACGCAATGTAGGGTCAGGAGTACGCAATGTAGGGGTCAGGGTACGCAATGTAGGGGTCAGGAGTACGCAATGTAGGGGTACGCAATGTAGGGGAGGCAATGTAGGGACAGGAGTACGCAATGTAGGGGTCAGGAGTACGCAATGTAGGGGTCAGGAGTACGCAATGTGGGGGTCAGGAGTACGCAATGTGGGGGTCAGGGGTACGCAATGTAGGGTACGCACTGGAGTACGCAATGTAGGGGACAGGAGTACGCAATGTAGGGGTCAGGAGTACGCAATGTAGGGGGACAGGAGTACGCAATGTAGGGGTCAGGAGTACGCAATGTAGGGGTCAGGAGTACGCAATGTAGGGGTCAGGAGTACGCAATGTAGGGGGACAGGAGTACGCAATGTAGGGGACAGGAGTACGCAATGTAGGGTCAGGAGTACGCAATGTAGGGTCAGGAGTACGCAATGTAGGGGTCAGGGGTACACAATGTAGGGGTCAGGGTACACAATGTAGGGGCAGGGGTACACAATGTAGGGGTCAGGAGTACACAATGTAGGGGACAGGAGTACACAATGTAGAGGTCAGGAGTACACAATGTAGGGGTCAGGAGTACACAATGTAGGGGACAGGAGTACACAATGTAGGGGTCAGGAGTACACAATGTAGGGGACTGGAGTACACAATGTAGGGGACAGGAGTACGCAATGTAGGGGTCAGGAGTACGCAATGTAGGGGACAGGAGTACGCAATGTAGGGGTCAGGAGTACGCAATGTACGGGACAGGAGTACGCAATGTAGGGGTCAGGAGTACGCAATGTACGGGACAGGAGTACGCAATGTAGGGGACAGGAGTACGCAATGTAGGGTCAGGAGTACGCAATGTAGGGTCAGGAGTACGCAATGTAGGGGTCAGGGGTACACAATGTAGGGGTCAGGGTACACAATGTAGGGGACAGGGGTACACAATGTAGGGGTCAGGAGTACACAATGTAGGGGACAGGAGTACACAATGTAGAGGTCAGGAGTACACAATGTAGGGGTCAGGAGTACACAATGTAGGGGACAGGAGTACACAATGTAGGGGTCAGAGTACACAATGTAGGGGTCAAGAGTACACAATGTAGGGGTCAGGAGTACACAATGTAGGGGACAGGAGTACACAATGTAGGGGTCAGGAGTACACAATGTAGGGCACAGGAGTACACAATGTAGGGGTCAGGAGTACACAATGTAGGGGTCAGGAGTACACAATGTAGGGGACAGGAGTACACAATGTAGGGGTCAGGAGTACACAATGCACAGAATGTAGGGGACAGGAGTACACAATACACAGAATGTAGGTGACAGAAGTACACAATGTAGGGGACAGGAGTAAATAATGCACAGTAAGAGGAAGAAGGGTACAAAATGAAAAGCATGCCGGAATAAGTGGTGTGTAACACACAGTGCAGGGGTCAGGAGTACAAAATGCACAGAATGTAGGGGACAGGGCAGGGGCGGACTAACAACTCATGGGGCACCCTCGGGCAATAGGGGATCATGGGGCCCCTGTGTCCTTGCCCAAACTCAAAAAAGCCTATGAAAAAGGTACCCACACAATGTAGAGGCCAGGAGAATCAAAATGTACCCCCCCACACAAGCAATATTCACCCCAACTTTACCAAACAAATTTACGCACTAATCTGCATACCCCCCACACACCACAAATTCTCTTCTCCCCAATCATCCCTTCAGCACAAATCCTCTCCCCCTTCTAGCACAAATCCCCCCTCAAAATCCTCTCTTCCGTAGAAATCCTTCTGTCTTCTTCCCAGTACAAATCCTCTCTTTCTCTACCAGTACAATTCCCCTCCTCCATCCCCTTCTAGTGTAAATCCTATTTTCTCCACAGATGCCCCCTGCCAGAAGAAAATCCATTCCTCTCCAAATATCCCCCACACAAATCCCCCTCAAAAATTCCCCCTCCCAACCCAAATCCTTTTCTCCCTAATCATCCCTCCAAGTACAAATACCCCCCCCACACCTTTTTCCCAGTATAAATCCTCTACCCCTTCTATCACAACCCCCTCCCCCCTCAAAAGCCCCTCTTCTAGCAGAAATCCTTCTTCCCAGAACAAATCCTCTTCTCCTACTAGTACAAATCCTCCCCATCCCCTTCTAATGCAAATCCTATTTTCCCCACAAATGCCCCCTCCCAGAGAAAATCCCATTCCCCTCCAAATTTTCCTCCCCCCTCACAAAAAAAATCCCCCTCCCAGCACAAATACTGCCCCCAGCCCCCCTCACACCACAAGTCCCCTTTTCCCCAATCATCCCTCCCAGCCCAAATCCTCCTCACCCAATTCTTCCCAGCACAAATCCTTTCCCCCTTCTAGCACAAGTCCCCCCTCAAAATTCCCTCTTCTATCCCACATTCTTCTCCCTTCTTCTCAGCACAACGCACCCCCCCCCCCCCCCCATCTCCTTCTAGTACAAATCCCTTTTTCCCCCACAAATGCCCCTTCCTAGCAAAAATGCCATTTCCCTCCAAATAACACCCCCCAAATTCCTCCTCCCAGCACAGATGCATCTCCCTCCCAGCACATATTATCTTCTCCTCAATCATCCCTCCCAGTCCCCCCTCAAAAACCCCCTTCTAGCACAAATCCTTCTTCCGAGCACAAATCCCCCTCCTAATCCCCTTCTAGTGCAAATCTTAGTTTCCCCACAAATGCCCCCCTCCCAGCAAAAAAATTCCATTCCCCTCCAAATATCCCCCCACCCCCAAATTCCCCTCCCAGCACAAATACTGCCCCCCCAGTATCTTTTTCTTTTTTGTTGAACTGTTATGAAGCAGTGTCTTTTTTTCAACTTCATTATTTAACTCCTCTCCCCCCTTCTAGCACAAATCTCCCCCAAACACACACCAAACCCTCTGTTCCAGCACAATTCCTCCCCTCCTTCCAAATTCTCTCTCCCGGCACAAGTCCCATCCCTCTTCCCAGTACTAATTCCCCCCACCCGAATGAACTGACTCCCAATTCCCCTCCCCCTTCTAACACAAATCCTCTTCCTCCCCAAGTCACCATCAGAGCTCAAATATTCGTATTCTCTCATTTATTCCTCCCAGCACAAATCCTGCTCCCTCCAAAACAATATTGTCATCCCAGCATATATCTTTGTTACCCCCCCCCCCCCAGTAAATTTTATCCTCCCTCCCTGAAATGTACAGACCTTAGATACAGCGCAGCTCAATACCAGGGGTGTCCCTCCTCCCAGGCTCCCCCTAATGGTGTGTATCAGGTAAAATATCAGGTAAGCCACACAGAGACAAATACCAATGACCATAGAACACATACACTATATTGCCAAATGTATTGGGACACCCCTCCAAATCATTGGATTTAGGTGTCCAATCACCTCCATGGCCACAGTTGTATAAAATCAAGCACCTAGTTGTGCAGACTGCTTCTACAAACATTTGTGAAAGAATGGGTCGCTCTCAGGAGCTCAGTGAATTCAAGCGTGGTACCGTGCTAGGTTGCCACCTGTGCAATAAATCCATCCGTGAAAATTCCTTGTTACTACTTTATATAATTCATGGTCAACTGTTAGTGGTATTATAACAAAGTGGAAGCAACTGGGAACAACAGCAACTCAGCCACCAAGTGGTAGGCCACATAAAATGACAGAGCTGGGTCAGCGCATGCTGAAGTGCACAGTGCGCAGAAGTCGCCAACTGTCTGCAGAATCAATATCTAAAGACCTCCAAACTTCATGTGGCCTTCAGATTAGCACAACAACAGTGTATAGAGAGCTTCATGGAATGGGTTTCCATGGCCGAGCAGCTGCATCCAAGCCTTACATCACCAAGTGCAATGTACAGCGTCAGATGGTGTAAAGCATACTGGACTCTAGAGCAGTGGAGATGTGTTCTCTGGTGTGCGAATCACGCTTCTCTGGCTGGCAATCTGATAGACGTGTC